AGGGCAATCCCCGGTACCAAAAAAAAAAAAATGGTAAACTTATGGCTGGGGATGTAGCCCAGTAGTAGAGTGCTTGCTTAGCATGCACAAGGCCCTGGGTTTAATCCCTTGTACCACACAAAAAGAATTAAAATAAAAAAATGTTTTAAAAATTGGTAAACAAGTGGGAATTTAGCTCAGTGGTTCCACTCCCTGCCTCGAAAGCACAAGGTCCTGAGTTTGATCCCCAGTTCCAAAAATAAAAAGAAATATTGGTAAACTGGATTTGACTTAAAATGAAACATTCTTGTGCATTGAAGGGTGCGGCTAGAAACCTGAAAAGGCTCCGGTAAGGAGACAGTACGTGCAGTGCATACATATTATATAGGCCCCCTATCCAGAGCACATTGACAGTCAGTAATCAAATAGAGATTAAGTAAAAACAAGGCAGAGGATTGTGAGTATGGTGGTGCATGACTGTTATCCCAGCACTGTGGAGCTGAGGCAGGAAAATTATGAGTTTGAGGGAACCCTGGGAACAATGTCAGTTCAGGGCCAGCTAAACTACATACATAGCAAGGAAGGAAAAAACATCTGGGGATGGTCAACACACCTATAATTCCAGCCCTGTGTCTCAAAAAAAAATAAAAATAAAAAGTGTGAATTCCCTGGGTTCAGTCCCCCGTACTGCATGCACGCGCGCGCGCACACACACACACAGACACACACAGACACACACACAGACACACACCCCCCCCCCAAAAGGCAAGCCTTAGATACTTCATGAAAGGGGATTCAGGAGTGCTTGGTATCATGAGTCTTCAGGGAAATGCACATCAGCAGGGCCAGGTGCTCCTGAACATGGGGCAGCCAGGACCCACAGCCTGCTGGTAGGATGCAAAATGGTACAGCTACCAGCTACCACAGTTCTGTAGGAACCTTGACCACTTTACCCTGTGTCCAGTGATCCCACTGCTGGGCTCTCACCAGAGCGTGGGCTGCGAAAAAACATGGGCCCACAAAAAGCTTATGTGAGCCAGGCATGGTGGCACAAACCGATAATCCCAACACTCAGGAGGCTGAGGCAGGAGGATTACCATGAGTTCAGGGCCAGCCTGGGCTACAAGAGTTCAAGACCAGTCTAGACTACATAGTGAGACCCTGTCTCAAAAAACAACAAAAAGGTCCAGGGATTTAGCTCAGTGGTTCTGCTGCCTGCCTCACAAGTGCAAGGTCCTGAGTTTGATCCCTGGTACCAAAAAACAAAATAAAACAAAAAAGCTTATGTGAGAATGTTCCTGGCAGCTTTGTCCTAATAGCCCAAAAAGCTGTTGGGGAAGCTACCTATTGTCCATCCAGAGTGGTGTCACAACTCAGCCAGAGGAGTGCTCCTCAGCAACAGGGAGAGGTTGTGCAGGTGCGCTTGCTGCTGGAGGCCGTCATGGTTGATTCAGACAGCAGGTTTGCTGTGAGCAGTGGGGATTCTTACACTGCCTCTGCCCGTGCCGCAGCACTCTCGGGCAAGGTTAAGTGTCTGCTGCAGAAGTGCTGAGAACTCACTTTTCTTCCTTTCCTACAGGCACTGTTGGTGTGCAGCTCCCAGGCCTCCATGAGTATGGTGCCGTCGGAGGCTCCACACGCGCTGCCACCACCGCCATGTGGGCCTGTCAGCACTGCACCTTCATGAACCAGCCGGGCACGGGTCACTGTGAGATGTGCAGCCTTCCTAGGACCTAGAGCTCCAGCCCTCTGCTGGGTGGACTGGGCCAGCCCAGCCCTCTGAAGCCAGGAGTGTTACGTGTCCCCTGTATGGCTGAAGCCAGCAGCCCTGCAGGGGCAGAACCAGCTGCCCTGGTGTCCTTGGACCCACCAAAGCTTCTCAGCTCTGATCCTGGAGTGGTGGCTCTGGCGGGTATGCTGGGCCTGAACACAGCCAACTGGAAATGCCAAGCAGCCCTGCCCAGGAGCACCCACCCCACACACCTTGTGCAGTGCACAGCCCCACCATGGTGGAAGGACCAGGCACCTCCACTTTCTCACCTGGAGGGGGCTCCTGCCACCAGCTTCCCTTTCCCTTCTCAGTGCTTTCTGTTCTGTTCTTTACACCCCACCCCACCCCACCCGTGTGTTTGGTTGGCAGCTCTGGGCTGCCTCTGTCTTCTGTTGCTCTGGCATAGAGGCCCCTGTCCAAGAGGGCCACAGCCTCCTTGGCTTGACCTGCAAATTAGCGGCTGCCTTCCCTTCTCTCACCCAGCAACCAGATGGGATTTTAAAGTCTCCATTGCTTGTAATAACAGTTATTAGTAATTCGTGCCCCAGAAGACTTTTATTTATTGTTTTTAAGATAAAACTGCACAAAAGGGGAGACAGACTAGGCTAGTGTCCTCTTTGTCCCTCCTTCAGTGCAGCCCCTCTGGGTGTTCGGGGTGGTGAGTAGGCAGGGGCCCCCGTCAGTTCGCCTCACAAACCTCAGTGCCTGAGACTTTTCTACCAAGCCACACAGGTGTGGCAGCTGGCGATGTGGGTGGCTGAGCAAGAGTAGTGGTGGCTCTCACCTGGCAGGCAGCCCCTCCAGACAGCTGGGAGGGTGAGCACCGGGGCTTTGCTCCTCTCTCCCCAATGTTGTCCCTCTCCCCATGGCTCTGTGCTGTGGCCATTGAAATGGGCCTGGAACAGAGCGCCTTGTGGGACCTGTGGGACCTGGGCAGGTGATAGATACTGTGTGAGGTCCAGCAACCCAGAACAGGTTCCAGCAGTCTTGAATGCCGTGTGGCTGGCTTTGGCCCTTTCCCAGGCGAGCGGTGAGCATCTTAATGCCTCTTTGCCTTAATGAGAGCCAAGTCAGCTGTGCTGGCCCTGGGAAAGGCCAGCACAGTGGCAGGCAGTTGGGAAACTGTCACCCTGGAGTAGCAAGCCCACAAAGTCCTCCCCATCCTTGGTCCTGTGGACAGAAACCTGGCCTGCTTTCCGTGCCATGGTCGGGCTTTGATCGGCACCCTAGGTCCGCTTGCTGTGGGATCTCATGAAGGCCGATGCTTCATTTGCTCCTGGGGCTATGAGCCTCTTGGATTAGGTCAGGCCAGGGCCATTGGGGGTCAGAGGAGGTGGGAAATAGCCAGGTCAGCAGCCTGTCTGCCAGTGTGCGGGTGCCAAGGCAGGCTGTGTGGCCTGCCTCTGGGAGCGGTCTCGGCTGGGGCTTTGTCCTCCTCTGTCTCACCTGCGTCCTGAGGTCAGCCGTGAGACTGAATGCTGTGCTGGTTGCTCACTGTGTCCAAGGCCATTCATGCCAGCACTGCTGCCCAGCTTGGTCAGGCGGTGGACAGTGCAGGCTTCCAGAAACCTTGCTGCCACTGCTACCATGGTCTCCTCTCCCACTCACTCTTGTCATTATCCACCAAGCTCATTTCCTTTCCTCTTCAACCAATATTTTTCTTGCTCTAAAGTTCTGGCATCCACATAGTTCATGTTTTCTTTTGTCTTTTAGCTAAAGAAAAAGTGTTGTGATTTCTCTGCTTATGGTTTTGAGTTACTCTTTGTTCAGTAATGCACTTTATTTTATTGTCCAAAGAGAGTCAAGCAAATGCTACCAGCTGGGGTGAGCCTGCCAAGGGTTAGGCCTGGCTGCTCACCTCTTACACGGGAGTGGCTCCGGCCCCACCTTGCATCCCCTGTGGATCCCCTTGCTCATGCCAGCAGGTACCATAGCCCAGAGAGGGGTGCCTGAGTGCACACCTGTCCAGGTGAACACAGCAGCTGCTGAGGTCTGGCCCCGCCCACCCAGCCCACCTCCGACAGTCTGCTCCTGGGACATAGGTGCTCCGCTTCGGCTCTGCTTTGGGCTCACAGGTGTGTGTTGGCTGGGTCTGGACTAGCATTACTTTGACCCCAGCCTTGCAGTGGAACCTAATAAAGCACCTGAAGCGACTGCCCCACGCCCAGCGTGTCATTCCTGTTCACTGAACCAATGTCCGCAGGTCGTGTCTGGCATCTGCTCTCTGGAGGGCAGTTTGTTAACTATGCCCCAAGATGTCCTTGTCTCCCAGTGATGTGCTTTGGCCATGTCAGGGTGCACCCCAGCTTTCCACTGAGTGCACAGGACCCTGGGTACTGTACTCCAGGCTGGCATCTGAGTGGGGGAAAGCAGCCTGGCCCCCTTGAGGTGCCTCTGCTGCCTTTTCCCAGTCTGATGGCTGTGTAGCACCCACCCTGGTCTCTGCATCTGACTCAGGTGCACACAGGCAAACAGCAAGTGAAAGATCCAAGTCCAGCACCCCCGGATGGCACAGGTGCCACAGAGCTGCCTTCCCTATAGAGAGCCAGGGCTCTGTCCAGGGCCCTCCCTTTGATCTTGGTGCCAGCCTTGCACTCTGACCAGGTGACTCGCTGCTCCCTGGAACAGCACTGAAAAACATCAGCTTGAGTCTGAAAGGGCCCCTGTGGTGAGGCAAGCCAGTGGTTAGCAACAAAATGGGCCTAGGCTTTGGGGCAGTGGGCTCTTGAGGGTCACCTGCATGCCAAGTCTTGGCAGGAAGTGGGATACGGCCATCTGTCAGCGGCTGTGTGTGCAGGTGACTCATCACCCAAAGCCCAAGTAGTGTTTCTGCACCTGGGCCCTGACCTACCAGCTGGCCCTATCACTCAGGGCTTGTGAAGAAAACTGTCCTGTGTGAGAGGGACTGGAAGTCCGTGGCACTTTGCCTTGTCCTGGCTGCTATGGGTGATGAGGTTCTGGGACATGCACTCTTCATGAGAAATCATTCAAATCCTGGTGCTTGGAAGTAGAACTGGGGATTGCTATTCCCCAGGTCTCTACCCCTGCCCTGTATGCTTTTTGGCGGGGGTGGGGGGGTACTGGGGATCGAACTCAGGGCCTTGCGCTTGTGAGGCAGGCCACGGAACCACTGAGCTAAATCCCCGGTCCCCTGTATTCTTTTCTGCTGGGCTTTTGCATCCCTGGTGTAGCCTACAGTTTACCACGCACTCCACAGTTTCCTTCCAGGCTGACCTTTAAATGCTGGACTACTTAGGGGGGTTGTAGTGCCTCCCAGCCTGGCATAGGGGTCACTGGCCGTGGTGCACTCTGCTGCCCCACCACCTCCCTGGTAGCGCTGTGTGCACCTTCTACTCCTATGACCCATCACCTCCTCACAACAGACCCTGAGCTGGGGACAGCCTTGAGCCCTTCCTTTTTGTGTCCAATTCACCCCAAGTGTCCAGTGCTCACCTCCTCCCTGCTTAGAGGAAATTTATACCATGAATCCTCAAATCTTAGTAAAAGGCTAGGTGGGGACCAGAGCTGAGGTGGGTAGAGGAGTGACCCACAACAAGGCCTGCCCCACTCAGCCTCCTATCTGTACTTTCTCCCCACCTGGGCACTTGCTGAAGGATAGCCCTAGTGTGTTTCCCACCATACTGGAAGATGTCCCGGGTGGACTGTGTGTGCACGGGCGACTCAAGGGCTGGACAGTGGTGATGCTCAGGTGGCTCAACTGAGGATTCATCCATAGTGACATGTTGCTGAGGGGCAGGTGACTCCATCCCCCCTTCTCCCGCCCTCTGCATCAGGGGCAGAATGTCCAGCCAAAACGCTTGGAGAGTGGCCCAGCAGGGTAGAGTGAGTCCAAGAGCCACACTGGCATTGACTGGTCAACACCAGGATTGGCACGGTAGTGGGTCGCTCACCCAAGCCTCGACATCGGGTTAAGGACCTGCAATTAGTTGTTTTGGCAGGTACACGAGCTAGGCCATGTCCAAACCCAGGAGAAATCCTGTAGCTGACCCCTCACACTAGGCCACGTCTCAGATGCCTCCTTTACTCCTGCGTATCTGGCGTCTGAACTCTCCAAATACATATATTCTTTTCCCCCTTTTAAAAGATGGAGTTTTGGGCTGGGGATTTAGCTCAGTGGTTCTGCCGCCTGCCTCCCAAGCACAAGGACCTGAGTTCGATCCCTGGTACCAAAAACCCCCCCAAACAAGCCATATAAAAGATGGAGTTTTTTGTTTTTTGGGGATTTTTAGTACCAGGATCGAACTCGGGGTCCTTACGCTTGAGCAGCAGGCGGCGAAACCACTGAGCTAAATCGCCGGCCCAAAAGATGGAGTTTTAATGGACACAGTGGTGCACCCGTGTAATCTGAGCTACTGAGGAGGCCGGGGGATTGCAAGTTTGAGTGAGGTGTCGCTGTGTCCATTCGCTGTCGCAGCGATGTGGCCTTTACGCGGGTGAACAGCGGCTTCAGCGCTGCGACCACACTGGGCACAAACCACAGACTCGCCCCGGCCGGCCCGCCTGAGCCTCAGCCTCCGCACCAAGCCTGCCTTTGGCCAGGCCCCATCCCCGCCCAGACCCCACCCCTAGTTCCGGCAGGTCCCGCCCTACCCGAGCCGGCCCCGCCCCTGACTGGCCGGCCTACGCAACAGCCCCCGCACCAGGCCCGCCCCCGGACTGGCCCCACCCCCGCAGTGCCGCTTTACGGCGGAGGCCGGGCCGCACGCGCCGTGGGAAGCCGTAAAGCGTCGGAGGCGGTGCCGCCCCCGCTGGGTTCCCCCTCACGATGGCGGGCACTGAACCGCGCGTGCAGTATCTGGCGGGCTTCTCCTGTCCGCTCGGAGGCTTGGCGGCGGGCAAGCCCCGTGTGCTGTGCCACGAGGCGGAGGTTTTCCTTTCCACGGGGAGCGAGTTCGTCTACGTGTACGACCAGGAGGGCGGGCTGCTGACCGTGAGCGCCGGGCTGCGGGCGGGCGGGCGGGCGGGCGGGGTCTCTCCGCAGTAAGGCCTCGGGCTGCGCAAGCGACTGGCCTGACCCCGCTCTCCTGGCGTCCAGGCTGTGTACCAGTTCCCCGACCAGGTGTGGCACCTGCAGCTCCTGGCCCTTCGCAGGGCGCTCTACGTTCTGTGCGCCCGGAGAGGCATCTACTGCCTGTCATTGGAGCCTCCGACAAGGTGAGGGATGATCGTGGCTCGCGTGTCCCCAGCCCACCCGATGCCCTGTCCTCCATGAGGCCAGCGTCCATTTCTTAGCATAACCCTTGAAATGTGCACGTGGTTTGCCCGTGGATTGGTTCGGAGTTATGGTCCTGCATCACACCACTGGGGATGGAGGGCTGCACTCCCTGACACGTACCAGGTGTTCTTGAAGAGTCTCCTGCTGGCAAGGAGTCTTTCTTAAGTGTGGCTCAGATGGTCACGTCTGAACCTGGGGAACAGGCCTGCTCATGACCTGATGGTCAGGTTCCCTCTGGCGAGCCCCTGGAGAGGGAGCTGCACTTGGTAGTGGCAGCTGTAACTGCTGCTCTGGTCTGTGATGTGGAGAGGTGGTGTGTGCAGCTTGAAAACAAAGCCAACAGTCTAGTCCAGGCCTGCAGTCCTTCTCTGAGAAGAATCATCCATCCGAGCCCCTGTATCCTTTTGTGTCCTGAGCAGTCCACAGGGCAGGTGGAAATCTTATGCACAGCTGGTCTGCCAAGCAGCTGACGATCTCGTGGAGCACTCTCTGTGGTGACCCCTGTGCAGCCTGCTCTGAGGCGGGTTATTGTGAACAGATGTGCAGTCTGTCCATCCTAGTCCTGACTTTAGTTCCATTGTTCCAGAAGGTCTGCGAGCCAGACAAATGAGGACAACGAGGACGGTGAACTCCCTTCCCCAGTGATCACTGTGGACCCAGATGCCTGCGTCCTCCCAGATACCACGCTCTGCGCGTTCACTGTACATGATGATATCCTCGTGGCCCTGGTCCAGGGCCCTGCCCAGTGGAAGATGCAGCTGTTTGAGCGTCCTGGTCCGGGGGAGGACCGCTGGCCAGGAGGCCTGGTTGGTGAGGTGGAGTTATCCACCTGCACCCCGCCAGCTGGGGTGCCAGGGAAGCTGACAGCCCCCTGCTTCCTGCCAGTGCTGTGCTGTGTGTCACCACCAGGCTCCGGGGTGCCAAGCGGCCATCCCCAGGGCTGTGGGGGCTTCATGTTGGAGGAGGCTCTCTTTGGGCTACTCTTTGGAGCAGATGCCACCCTCTTGGAGTCACCTGTGATCCTCTGTGGTCTCCCTGATGGGCAGCTCTGCTGTGTGGTCTTGAAGGGTTTGGTCACCTCTAGGTCAGCCCCTGGTGACCCAAAGGCCCTTGTCAAGATCCTCCATCACCTAGAGGAGGCCATCGTCTTCATTGGGGCCTTGAAGACAGAGCCTCAGGCTGGGGAGGCTGTGGAGAGTATGCCACCCTGTGAGGACGTGTACTCAGACTGTTTGGTGGCCCTTGGTCACCATGGACGGACATTGGCCGTCAAAGCCAGCTGGAACAAGTCAGGGAATCTGGTACCAGAGCTTCGAGAGTATCTCCTCCCAGGGCCTGTGCTCTGTGCTGCCTGTGGTGGAGGCAGCCGCATGTACCACAGCACCCCTTCAGACCTCTGTGTGGTAGACCTGGCTCTCGAGGGCACCCCCTTGAACTCCCAGCACCCACAGTGTGGAGCCCCTGGAGGCCTGCCCCCCATGCTATGCCCAGCCAGCTTGAGCATCTGCAGTGTCCTTACTCTCTCTGTGTTATCTGGGACACCTGCAGGTACGTCTGCCGGTTTCCTCTGATTTCTCCTAACTAAAAGGTGAAGGTTTGTCCACACTGGGTACAGCCTAGTTTTCACTCACTCCTGTTTCGAGGTCAAGGAACAACAGTGTGCATGCGCCCCCTGGGCTCAGTGTAAGGGTGGCACTCTGCGTGGGTAGACTCTGCCCCCTCGTTTCACTGGCCACTCAGCGTGTTGCCCCTGGTGACCAGCACAAGCGTGTCTGCCTTGGCAGGTCTCAGATTGGTCTGATCAAACCTTTACATGTCCTCTGAGGGTTGGGACACGCCCGCTTCAGCCACTGTGTGGCTGCTTATGAGGCACTCTGTACCAAAGGAAGATGGTGTAAGGCGCTGTCAAACCAGACAGGGTGTGTGTGCATGTCTGTGTTGGAATGTGAGGAAGCCCACCAGCCTCTCCTCTTCCCTTTGGGAAGGTTTGTGAGCGGACTGATAAATCTTGCCATGGAGAATACTCACTGTGAAAGAAATGGTTTGAAGAGAGAGACCCTCAGGCAGATGGGAGGTAGGGTACAGTGGATGTGGCCAGAGATGGAAGCTCCTGTGAGGTGACTGGCCTCAGCTGCTTGGCCACCTGTTTGGGGTTCACAGCCGAGGCAGTACTACGGTGGCTGGGCACAGGCAGACCGTCAGCAGAAGTAGTCTTTGTCTCTGGGTGCTCCCTGGCAGCCCAGCAGCAGGGAAGGAAGCAGGCAGATATTATGGGTACAGCCAGCCTTCGAGAGACTCCCCAGTGAGGATACAGGGTGGGAGGGTAGGCGGGACTGGAACCCCAGGGGCACTGTTCTTTGGAAGAGCTCAGGTAGTGTTGTTCTGTGTGGCCTTCTGTGTGAAGGTCAGGCCACGCCTAACAGATGCAATGGTACACAGTATCCTCATTTGGCCCCCTTTCAACCCGTCCCTGTCTGTGGGGCCCAAACGCCACCATGGTGCCCCTGCTACTGTATCAAAGTTCCTTCCATCTCAGGGAGGCCCTTCAGAGGAGAGGAGCCAGTGGGCAGCATCTCTGTCCAGTCCCCGGGGGTGTCCTAGCATTCCTGGGGAACTTTTTTTCCTCCCTTAGTGCCATGGGCCTCTGTTAATCCCCCAGCCTGGGACAGACTGCTGAGTGTCACAGCAGCTGCTCCCCTGCCTGCTGACTTTGTTGTCCATCAGGTGGCACTGAGCTCCTGGCCCTGTCGGCCAAAGGCTGCCTGATGACCTGCCGGCTAGACCTGAACTCTGAGAGGCCTGGTCCCACCAGAATGACCACAGAAAACGCAGGCCGGAAAATCAAGGAACTTCTCTCTGGCATCGGCAACGTCTCTGAGAGGTGAGTGGTGGTTCCAGCTCTGCTGCGTCGCAGGTGGCAGTATCCTCGGCAGCAGCCCATGTGGCCATTACTCTGCCTCTGGCTCCACCGAGAGCCCACAGGGCTGCATCAGGGGCCTCCAGAAGATAAGAGAGCCCCTTCTCAGCTAAAAGGGTGTGGCCCCATCCTTTTTCCCTGGTGGGAGGGCACCGGAGATGGAGATGCTGGTTCCTTAACTGCGCCCCAGGCCCCTCCACTGGGTCTCCTTCCTTCCCCGGGTGCCACATCTCCTCTTTGCAGAGTGTCCTTTTTGAAGAAGGCTGTTAATCAACGGAACAAGGCCTTGACGAGCCTCAACGAGGCCATGAACGTGAGCTGCGCCCTGCTGTCCAGCCGGGAGGGCCCCCCACCAGTCTCGTGCACCACCACCACTGCCTGGAGCCGCCTGCAGCTGCAGGACGTGCTGATGGCCACCTGCCTGCTGGAAAACAGCAGTGACTTCAGCCTGGACCAGGGCTGGACCTTGTGCATCCAGGTGCTCACCAGCTCTTCTGCCTTGGATCTGGACTCTGCCGGCTCGGCTGTCACCTACACCATCCCTGTGGACAGGCTCAGCCCCGGCAGCCAGCGCGAAGTGACGCTGCCCCTGGGCCCTAGTGAAAGTGGGGTGCTCGACTTGCCTGTGACCGTGAACTGCACGCTCTTCTACAGCCTCCGGGAGGTGGTGGGTGGGGCCCTGGCTCCCTCCGATCCCCTCGAGGACCCCTTTCTGGAAGAGCAGCCCCTCGACCTCCTTCCAGAGCAGGAGGGCATCTGCTTGCCCCTGAGCAGGCACACGGTGGACATGCTGCAGTGTCTGCGTTTCCCCAGCCTGGTCCCACCCCACGGGCACGTAGCCTGCCCCCTTGCCCCTGCCGCCGACCTGGTGGACACCTTCCTGGAAACATGCCGTGCTCCAAGCAGTGACCTGGCAGGCCCCGCAGCCCTGCGGGCTAAGTACCTCCCACCTTCCATAGCCTCCATCCGAGTGTCGGCAGAGCTGCTCAGGGCTGCCCTGGAGGACAGTCACTCAGGTTGGTGGCTTCAGCCTTGAGGCCTGCAGACTCAGGTCGCTTCTCCTCCCAGTGGTTCCTGGGGCAGCTGTGGGCCTGCACCCACCCGAGCTCTGCCACACCCTGATCGCTGTTGGAGTCTTGTCTTGCGTTGTCCTGCCACGTTTTTCTTTGAAGTTGTGTTTCTTAAAAACTGTGGAGGCCCAGGGATTTAGCTCAGTGGTTCTGCCTCCTGCCTCACAAGCACAAGGTCCTGAGTTTGATCCCCGGTGCCAAAAAAAAAACCAGACTGTGGAAGCATGACCTAGATGCAGAAGCAGACTTGTCACCAGGGGACAGCCTAGTGAGTTTTATAGGCCCAGCATCCGGGGAGCCAGGCCCCAAGGCCCACAGCGCCACTGGGACCCTCTCTGAGCTCCGAGCCCGCTGTGTCTGGCTCATGCTCCTGCTGTGTGAGAGGCCCTTTGTGTCATAGGACATGGGGTCTTGTGCCTGGATGGTGTCTTTTTGTCCGTGTCACTGTTCTGCTGTCAGTGGATGTTGGGCAGTTTCTGGGTTTGTCCACAGGTGGTGTCCACGGCCACCCATAGAGCGCCCCTGTGGTTCCCGCTGTAGTGGAACTGCCTCTCAGGACTGACCACCTGCACGCTGGTGGGGCTCCTGCAGAGTGCTCAGCCACAGTTCTTCCCTGCTGCCCCATTGGGAGCACCGTCCCTTCCTCTTGGCCAGCCCGCCCAGCTCCCTGTTGGGGTGGGGCCGAGGGCAGCTGGGGCCCTCAGGGGAAACGGAGGGGACACGTCAGGGTGGCCACCCTGATGCTGGTGAGTAAGGCCAGCCCAAGCTCCTGCCCCTCTCCCCACCAGGTGTCCCCCTCTGCAGTGCCACCCTGCAGTGGCTCCTCGCAGAAAATGCTGCCCTGGACATCGTGAGGGCCCAAGCACTGTCTTCCGTTCAGGGCGTGGCCCCCGACGGCACTGACATCCACCTCATCATCCAAGAGGCAAGCAGGGGCGCAGTTCACCACCCACAGGGAAGTGGGCCTCCCCACCAGCTGTGCCGAGGCGTCCCTGGACCAGCGGTGCTGGGCAGCTTTGGAGGAATCTGAGCAGGGCTGGCCCCGCACCTCAGGACCCTGTGAGGATGGTCCCTGCCCCTCCCCAGCCGGGGTCCCCTTCCCTTGTGCACTGCTGCCATGCTGCTGAGCTGCTGCCTGTGCCCTAGGAGCAGTTGACCCCCTCAGCCCTCAGAGGAGCTCAAGTGGGTCTGCCATTCCCAGTGTGTTTGTCCCTCACATGCACCCTTCCTGGGACAGATTCTCTTGTCCCACTGTTAGAGCCTTGCACAATGGTCCAGCTGCCAGGAGACCACTGTCCCCAAGGATGGTGGACACAGGGTCCACTTGGGATTGTGCCTCGGCCCTGCTGCCCACTGCATGGCCCTCTAGCCAGACTGAGGCTAGGCCGGCTCTGGTGGGAGCGTCTCTGGGCTCTGAGGCTGGGTCTGGCGGTGGCTCTGGGTGGTGGAGGGGATGCTTGCCAGCCCGTAGGAGAGCCACCATGGAGAGCAGGCCAGGGCTTCTTGGCTCCTGGCCTGTCAGTGGGTGCAGTCAGGAGCTCCCGGAGGGCATGTGGCTGGCCCTCTGATGGCTCCAGAGCTGAGTTCACAACTGCTGTCACGTGGGCCATGGCACGCAGGTGGGCGGGGCGGCCTTCAAGGCTGTGGACAGTCCAGAGGCCTGGTCACAGCTTGAGAGGAGGTTCCCTGGCTCTGTCCCAAGGGCCTCCCTTTGGGTCTGGGTCCAGACAGCAGGCTTCTTGCCATAGGTTCTTGGCTGGGTGTCCAGGCCAGGGCCCTTTGCCCCAAGCCCTGCCTGCCTGCAAGACATTGAGGGGCATCCCAGGCCAGGAGTTGGGGCCCCCTTGTGGGGTGGGGCAGGGGCTGCCAGCGAGGACTCCTGTGTGTTGCAGGTGGCCGTGACTGACCTCTGCCTAGCAGGGCCCATCCAGGCTGTGGAGATCCAGGTGGAGAGCTCCTCTTTGGCTGACATGTGCAGGATACACCACGCCATTGTTGGGCGCATGCAGGTATGGCAGCTGTTGTGGCCTGGGTGGGAGAAAGACTGTGAGGGTTGTGGGCTGCTTTGAGGATTCTCAGCTGCAGGCAGCGTGGTCTGCAAGGGGTCACAGGAGGAAGCACCATCTGGACAGCTTCAAGGTGATGGGGAGTCCTCTCCAGCAGGAGGATGTTACCTTCCAGATGTGCCCCTGCCCCATCTCCCCTGTCCAAGGCCTGCTTAAGCCCATGTGTGGATGGATTTCCACTTCCTTATTCCAAGTCAGCCTGCGGTATCACTTGCCTGGCCGCAGATCCCTGACGAGGTGTCTGTCTGCCTGCTCTGAGCACAGTGACTGGGCCTGGGGGTTCCCAGGGCAGGAGCCACTTTGTTGCTGTCCCTCAGTCCTGCTGGAGCCAGTGCTTCCGGGTCTGGGAACTTCCTGCCTTCCTCGTCAGTCAAGCTGGGGCCCACAGCAGGGCAGCCTCTGCCGGAGTCTGGGGGACCACTGCTCCACCCACTGAGGCTGTGCACCGCCTTGGCCCCTGGGAAGGGGTCCACTCCAGCCAGTCGAACTAGGCTTTCACCTCCAGCCCTGCATCAGCTTTACCTAGAGCTCGCCACCCTGCACTCTCACTGCTCAGATCTGGTGGCTGCTGGGCCCCACAGTGTCCCAACACACGTCACGAATGGCGGCCCTGGCCAGGCCAGGCAGGTGCGGTTACTCCCATCAGAGCTCAGAAAGCTAGCTGTGACTCCCAGCATGTGATTCCGGTTGATGCCGTGCCCTGACCCCGTGGGACCCGAAGCTCATTCTATGAAGTGCTCATGGCACAGCGTTGATTTCTTCCCTGGGCACAGGAGTCTGGTGCTGACATTGTGAGCTGGCAGGGTGGTGTCCAGGGCAGTGGTGCCATGTCCCGGAGGTGGCTCCACCTACAGGGCCATCCAGTCCCCTAGAAAGTTCTGTTCACCTGTGACCAGATTTTTCTTTTCTTTTTTTCTTTTTTTTTTTGGTACTGGGGATCGAACTTGGGACCCTTACGCTTGCAAGGCAGGTGGCAGCACCACTGAGCTACATCCCCCGCCCATATTTTTTGGTTTTTTGAGGCACGGTCTCCCTTTGTAGTTCAGGCCGGCCCTGAACTCACTATGTAGCCCAGGCTGGCCTCGAATTCCCAGTGATCCTCCTGGCTCAGCCTCCCAGGCGCTGGGATTAGAGGCGTGCACCACCATGCTTGGCCAGATTTTTCTTTCTTAGCAAGGACAACCTCATGTGTGGTAGGGCCACCCTAATGACCTCAAGTTGGCCATCTGCAGAGACCCCATTTCCAAATATAGTTGAATTTAGGGATACTGAGGTTAGGTCTCCCACGTGTAAATGCTGCAGCTGCTCCGTGGTTGGGAATTGGCACAGCTGTGGTCACACCAACATATACTGTGTTCCCACGGCTCAGATGGGCAACTTCCACCTTGACCCAGCACTTCTGGGGTCCCAGACTGCCAGGTGGTCCTTGGGTGGCAGCTTTACTGAGGGCCTTGTCGTCCCTGGTAAGCTGACGGGGGCCTTACTGGCCATCCGGTGAACTGGGCTGCCTTGAGGAAGTGGGAGCAAGTGGCCGGCGCCTCACGGGGCTGCTGTGTGGACCAGCAGCTGGGCTGGCTGGCCTTCAGCTTGTCTGCACCGAGGACAAAGCAGGCAGTGGGGAGGCTTGGGTGTGAGCAGGGGAAGGGTGGGGCTAGCAGAAGGGTTGGTTACCTTACAAGTAACCATCCGTGGGCCCCTGAGCAGGACAGTGACGGGTGGCAGAGGTGTGGGACGCAGTCATTGGTGGGGACCCAGATGAAGAGCTTGGGGCAGATGGGAGGGGTCACCTGCTCTGCACATGGGCACAGGGCCTCCAGACACGGGCTCCCACCTCAGGATGCATCCCCCCAACCCATGTCCCCCAGACGATGGTCATGGAGCAGGCTGCCCGGGGCTCCAGCCCACCTGACCTCCGTGTGCAGTATCTCCGCCAGATCCATGCCAACCATGAGGTGAGTGTCCCCATGTGGGCCCTGTGGACAGTTCCTGGAGGACACTCAGCCAGGCAGGCTGGCCCAGGCCTCGGGAGTACGAGGCTCCTGGGCAGGGGCACAGTGGGTGGCTCACAGCTGTTTCCTGGCTCTTGCCCTATCTGATCCCCCGCCATACCCACCAGGCTGCATGTCCCACGTGTCAGGTCGTAGCCAGGGTTCTCCCAAGGGTGGGGGCAGCTCCAGAAAGAGGTGTAGAGTCTGAACTGTGTTACCTGTAGGCGCTGCTGCGCGAGGTGCAGACCCTGCGTGACCGACTGTGCACGGAGGATGAAGCCGTCTCCTGCGCCACAGCCCAGCGGCTCCTCCAGGTGTACAAGCAGCTGCGCAGCCCAAGCCTCGTCCTGCTGTGAGCAGGTGGGTGCCGGCCTCCGTCCTCCCTTCCTTGGCCCACGCTGATAAGCAGAATCAAAGGATGTTCCCTCGGCCCCTTGCTCAGGAGGCACATGGCTGGGCCAGGGCCATAGAAGGCACGGGGAGGCGGGCTGGAGGCGGTGGGGCCGACGGCACATTTGGTTGATACCTGGACCCAGGAGCTCTGCACCCTCACCCCTCCCTTCCTCCCGAAGCTGCTGGACCACTCCTCACGGCAGCTGCTCTTCCTGCTGAGCCGGCTGTGCACAGGACGCTCCACCAGACGCTGCAGACCACGATCGGGACCACTGCCGGCCCAGTGGGCAGGCCACGGAGACAGGGATTCTGGGGTCGGGACTGGGGGTTTGTGACTGTGGTCCCTGCTCTTCCCACCACACCCCAGGAGCACCAAGGCCCCTCTGGGGCTACTGGGAGGGAAGGTGCTCCCTGCAACCAAAGCACAAAGCCCTGCCTGCTGCACCGTGGAGGGGCCGTGGTGGCCTGCAGCCAGAACCTCAGCCCGGCCCTGTGCTCTCTTCAGGGCCACCTGGGTGTGGGGCTGTGGCCCAACTGCAGCCTGCCCTTGGCCTGGTGCTGTTTTTACTACTGGGGGTGACTGTGTATCTGGACCTTGTGGCGCTCCATGCCCGCTCCTGCTGTGAGCCGTCTGTGATGTGTAAGGTGCTCTGCTGACAAGTGACCCTTTTGGTTGACTCTAGGCCTTGGCTGTCTTTTAACCCCTTCCTACTCTCAGACAGGTGGCAACCCGCCCCCTCACAGGCTCCACGGGCCCCTGCCCGCCAGGTGTCCGGGTGGTAGAGCCCTGCCTGGCTTCCTCCTCACCTGGGGAAAGAGGAGGCCCTCTGGAGATCCTCTGAACAAGGGCTCCCCTTGCAGCACCCAGCTACTCTCTGGGCTGCTGGCCGTTCAGGGCTGAGGATCTGGGAGAACGAGCCCACAGGCTCTCCCTAAGGGCGCTGTCCACACCTGAGGCCCACTCTCCTGTCACCTCCCAAGTGGGAGCCTCTGGCTCCAGCCACTGCCTAGTGCTCCTGCCCACATCTGGCTCTAAGCACCTCCAAGCAGGGTGTAGGAGCTAGGACAGCACACAGGACGGGCAGAGCCTGCATCCACCTACCTTGGAGAAGGTGCCCTGTGCTAGCTGCTGCACCTCCTGGTGCCCCCACTGGCCACTGCAGACTGTGAGGATCCCAGAGCTGAGAGACATGGGCTCCCTGCAGGGCTCGATGCCCAGACCCTGCAGGTGCCAGCTGGTCTGAGCAGAGTAGACGTCCGAAGGGTCCACCGTGCCCACCAGCTTCTCCAGGAACAAGATCCCCCACCCCACCCCAGTGCTGGCAGTGATGACTGAGCCGAGTCATCAGCCTGGCTGTAGATGCCCGGTTAGGTATACACCAGGGCACCTCCTCTTAAGAGCGGGAGTGGAGGGGTCACGTGGTTCCGGCCTGGCCCCACCTCCTGGCCAGACACCTCCCCAGCCCTTTCCTGCACCGCACTTCGCTAACACTAGGGGGTGCTGTGAGCCCTGGGACAGCCTAGTTTACGAGCCTTCAAGGTTAACTGGGCCCTGTTGGATACTTGGCCCTTGGGGTCACTGGCCTCTCTGGAGAAGCGAAGGGCTGGTCCTTCCTCATGAGGGTGAAAGTACCTCTTCCCCACCCCGGCTCCAGGTTCTGTAGCCCCTCTTGCTTGCTTGGCTGGCCCCATCCTAGCCCCGGACTCCTGCCCTTCCCTGGGCGCTGCCTGTCCTGGGCAGCGGGACTTACAGGAGGGGACAACACTCAAGCTTGTAAGGGGCTTCCCAGGTCAGCCGGAGCAGGGAGCTGCGGTTTCACCATTTCCGGGAGGAGCTGTGTGCCTAGGCCAGGCAGCCTGTGGGGCCGGGTGGGGAGGGGTCCCAGCACCCCAAGCAGTGCCAAGAGCAGAGCTGCGCCGACAGTTAGTTTAATGCGGGGCTGATGGGCCCTGGACCCCGCGATTGTCCTGTACTCGCCCCGCTGCTCTCAGTACTCCCAGAGCGCCACCCCGGCGGGCGCATCCGCGTCGGCGCGTAGCAGCCCCGAGGCCCCGCCACGCAGATACTTTCCGCTTCGGGCTCGGATGGCCAGGCGGCCACGTTCGCGAAACTCAAAGAGGAAGTCCTCGGCGCGCTCGCCGTCGCTGGACACGCTTCCGTGGCTACCCGTGTACCAGAACCCGCCGCCGCGGCCTGGGGGGAGCCGGGGGTCGGCGGGGGCCACCACGCGCCCAGTTCCCGTGCGCAGGCTCACCGCCCACGCTCCCTTCCCGCGCACCTCGAATCTGATAGGCACCGTCGCTGAAGCTCAGGTGGAAGACGTCGTATACCGAGCGGTTGGTGTCCAGCTGGTTGGAGCCGCGCCGGTGGCAGACGAAGCCGTCCAGGCCCCGCAGCACCAGGATGGGCCTGTTGATGAGCTTGAGGACGAACTCCTCATCCTCGCCTGTACGGGAGGGCACTGTGGGTATAGAGGGCACCCCGGCTGCCACTCCCCAGCGCAGGTGGCCCATGGGGCAAGCCTGGCCTTGGGCGTGCAGGCCCAGATCTGCCCTTGTCCACTGTGTGACCTGTTGAGGAGCCTGGCACCGTGAACCTGGGGGTCTCCAAGCCTGCGAGGAGGTAAGCAGGCCCCATGGTTCCCAGAGCTACAGTGGAGGGAAGGACAGGCGCCCTGGGACCGACGTGCCCCCCAGCAGACTGTCAGGCCAGCCTGGCAAGTGTGATCTGTCACAGTAGCAGCAGTTCTGGGAGTGGGAAGAGAGGGGGCCTGTGCAGGCCCTGCCTGGGGGAGAGCCCGCCCCAGCCTCTAGGAGGCAGAGTGCTCACCCACGAAATCACTGGTGGCCGCCAGCTGCCCGTTCTTCTTCATGCACACATAGCGCCCATTGCTGGCTTTGAGTGCCACCCGCCGCCCGCGCCATTCCACCTCGAACATGGTGTTGGCAGAGCTGAGGGGAACGGGCAGGGTCCCCTCAGCAGCAGGAGATGGGGTGTGGGGTCTGGCCTCCCTCCCCTCAGTTCCAGCAGCCGGGACGGGAGCCTGCCCTCCACCGACACCCACCACCGTTAGGAGCTGCCCTGCCCGTGATGGTTCTCCCGGCTGAGCTGCACTGGTGGCCCTCGCAGCTGAGGTGCTGAGGATAGTGGCCATGGTAATGGCTGAACGATGGCGTATGAGGCAGGGGTGGAGCGGAGAGTGGAGGTGGGGATGGTGGAGACGGAGATGACTGTGCTGCTGGGGCTGGTGGACATAGGGGCAGGCACACTCACACTTGCGTGGCTGTGGCCTGAATCCCCCCGTGGGTGACCAGGGTCCAGTAGCCCCCGGTGCTGGAGTAGAAAGTGCACTTCTTTGTCTCCTGGTCAATTTGCATCAGGAAGGTCTCGTGGTCCAGCTCCTCATCCTGATTGGCTGAGACATTGATGCCTGGAGGGAGGACGTGGGGAAGCCCTTCGCGCCTCTCCAGAGAGGGGAGACATGCTTTCGGGGACCCCTGAAGCCAGAGGGAGTCTCATCTCAACCATCTGGGTTTGATTTGGAAGGCATTCCCCAGAGGGTCTTGGACCTGCATCAGGACCGGGGGCCCCAGCCGAGCCCACACATGGTGCCTGAGGGGCCCTTGGTCTGGCTCTTCCCACAGCTGGAGCCAGAGGTTCCGTGCCAGCAAATCCTCGCTCTGCTAATCCGGGGTAATCTGCTTGCTTCTGTTCTCCTGACCTGGAATTACCCACCCTCTAATTATAACTCCCACCCAAGCTCCTGTGGGCACAGTGGACCTCCCTTTTGGAAGATAGCCTGGGGACAGGCACCCACACCCACACACCGCGTGGTCTTTAGGGGAGACTGAGGGGAGGACCTGGCTCTGCCCCAGGTCCCCAGGGCTGGGAGCGGTAGGCAGCCACTGGCTCCGCAGGATCTTCCCTCCACGGACATTCCTGTTTCCCTGGCAACTGGCCATCTGAGTGGTGTGACAAGTTCCAGAGCCCCTTGGGGTCCAGAGTCCAGGGTCCAGGGGTCCCTGGCTGGAGGAAGCAGAGCCCCAAAATAGCCTGAGGGGGGCCTGTGTCCTAATCCGTGGTGCCCCTAAGGAGGGCCCCGGCCTAGAGAAGAGGCTGAGATCTGCTGCCTTCACCAGCACCCAGAGGCCTGGCCTCCCGCCCCAGCTCAGAGAAGCTGCTGGCTTGTGCTGTGGTAGGAGCTCCGGTCTTCACTACCGTCCCCAGCCCCATCATCCGTGCTGCAAATACTGAACCGGGTGAGCAGCTTCCAGTCTGAGCCAACAGACCCCAGCCCATTGCCTTCGCCTGCCCGAGAGCTCGTGGTGAGCAGAGACCGAAGGTGCAGGCTTCGACCCTGTGGTGGAGCCATCACTTGGAGATGGGGCCAGTGACTCTTAAACCAAGAGCCTCCCTGCAGGGAGCCCGTGGAGGTCCGTGGCTGGCTGTGCCCGCTGTCACTGTCACATGGCCCTGCAGCCACCGCTGCAGCTCCCAGGCCTCGAGTGCTCTGCCTCCAGTCACCCACACCTCCGACAGGCAGGATGCTGTCAGTGGCTTCCTCTTCCCGGGCCCAGCTGCGCCCAGGGAGCTGCCCTCGCAGTGGAGGAGCATGGGGTCCAGACTGGCCTGGGTAGTGCGGACTGCATCCCACCAGCGGGGATGGCTGACCAGGGAGAAAGGATGCTCATTCCGGACAGAATGCCAAGGGGTGTCTGCTAGGGTTCCAGGGAGATATTTTCTTACTCCTAAGTAGACATAAAAAGCGACCCTTTTTCCTCTGGATTCTGACCTGTCCGGGTGAGAATGTCAGCCTGAGGTCAGAGCTGACCCATGACGGTGGCTCAGCAAGGAAGTGAGAACGGAGACCCCTGATGATCACACAGCGCAAGCAGTGGTGCTGGATTCCCATTTACATGAGATAACTCATGTTGTTTTACTTTGTTTTTTGAGACAGGTTCTTTGTATGCAGTTCAGGCTGCCCTTAAACTCACTAGGCTGGCTTCAAACTGGAGGTGATCCTCCTGCCTCATCCTCCCTGGTGCTGGAATTACAGGACTGTTCCACCACGACTCTTTAATGTCCTTATTGTTTGAATCCGTTTGTGGCAGTCTTCTCTTACTGGCAGCCACAAACACTGCCCACTGTGCTACCCACCTGTCAGCTCTCACTACCATAGCAGTAAGGGTAGGAACAGGCAGACAGAGGCTGACAGAGCCAAAAGTAAGTTAATAGCCACAGTGGTGCACATCTGTAATCCCAGAACTCAGGAGGCTGAGGCAGGAGGATCGCTGCAGGTTGGATGCCAGCCTGAACTACATAGCGAGTCTGTGTTTCAAAAAACCAAAAGAAAGGCCCGGGGATTTAGCTGGGTGGTTCCAGCGCCTGCCTCGCAAGCAGAAGGACCCAAGTTTGATCCCCAGTACCAAAAAAAACAAAAGAAAATAAAACTGCTAACCTAAATCCAGACACAAACCCCCACAGGGCAGGGAGCCAGGTCTAAGGGGTGCTGGCCAAGGGTGACACCAAAGCACTGCTGCGCTGCCACTCCAGGACACATTTGGGAGAAGACACCACAGAACCCAGCTCGGCTTCTTGAGTCTAGGCCGGCCCAGCACCTCCCTCGCCCTGTCGGTCTCCCCAGGACAGATGCCGCAGCTGGCTTCTTCACTCTGCCCCAGTCGGGCCGTCTGGGGGCGGGCCAGGCACCCTCAGCCTTGGGCTGAGGAAGGTGAGTGCCTGGTTCTGTCCACTCCCAAGCAGGAGGTGGCCTCTGTCCTCAGCAGGGGCTTCTCCCATCCAGGGGCGCATCAGACGCGAGGTGACCAGGAGAGGGCAGTGGTCCATAGAGCCGTCGTCCTGTCCCCATCACTGCCTCTGGGGCAGCAGCAGCACCACAACTACCACCCCGTCCCTCAACCATCACCTCCGTCGGCCGCATCCGCCATCCCCACACCATCTGGTCATCTCCGCCACCGCTTCCCTCGCCCCCACTCGGCCGACCACCCCCGTCATGATCATCCACACCCTTACCGTACCGGGACCACTGCCCCACGGGAGCTCATGGCTATTGTTTACAAGCACTTTGGTGGCCAACAGCTCCTCTGACTCCCACGGGAAGCTCCCCTGCCACTCCCACCCCACTTAACTCAGAAAGCATGGAAACCTCCATCCAGGCCAGAAAGTGGTGGGCTGCACCGCAGGGGATGATGGGAAGGAGGGACGTCCCTGTGTCCTCCATCAACCCAGTGCCTGGCCTGCCCTGGGACATGTGCTCATGGTGACTAATGTCTGCGGCCGAGCTGCCCTGGCCTGAGGACGCCCACCTGAAGGTGCAGGCCGCAGGGCATGACTGGGCTCCCTCTGGGGGCTCCTGCCTGGCCTTCACCCTCTGAAGCAGGAAGTGGGTGCCCAGATCCTAAGACAGCTTGGCATCCCACAGGTCGGGCAGGGCGTGGTGAGCACATGGGAGCTGCCCTTTGCCTGGTGGGTGCTGGCCTGAGTGGGGGGTGCCTGGCCATTCTGGGAGCCTCAGTGGGCGATGCCTGTGACAGCTGTCCTGATCCCCAGCAGCATAGGGGAAGACCCTCGCTGCCTCATTGCGAAGTGGAAACTGCAGAGTTTGTCCTGTAGGTGATCAGAACCGGGCAATGGGGAGATCCAGGGTGTACCACAGGGACAGAGGTGGCACCTCCCCTTGAAGGGCCCAGGGCCTGGACCAGGCTGCCTGCCCCCATGTCCACATGAGGCTCCCACCGTGGGACACATGGAGGCGCCATCTTTTTGCCCTGCTCTGGTCTGGCCCCTCCCTGGTGTCCGTCAAAATCCAGAGAGTGGTGGTGAAAGAGAAGGGGTGGAGCTTCGCCAGCCTCCTGCCCCAACCAGTACCTGGGTGGATCTGAGCCTTGCCCACTGGGTATGGCACTGCCAGCCACAGCTCTCACCTGTCCCACCTCCCAGGCAGAGAGATTCCCAGCTGTCCTGAGAGGCCAGGACCCCTGCTCTGACCCGAGCCCAGCCCCTGCCTTGCCGTGTGTGCACGCACAGGTCCCGTGTGGACACAGGCCCACACAGCCCTGGGCCTGCTGCACCTCCTACCTTGCCTCACGGAAACGTAGCGGTGGTTGGCAGCCACCAGCACCACCTGCGGGTGACTCTCCTCCAGATCGAAGAGCTCATCCTTGCCAGGCCGTGTGTTGCGGCCGGCCTTGAGTGTGCCCGCAGGCCCCGTGGGCGCCAGGTATCGGCCATCACAGTCCTTGAAGGCGAGCTTGCCCGCCTTGAGCTCCAGTGTGTAGCACGCGTGGGCCTCAGGTTCCCGGACCAGGCGGCCATCGCTGCGCAGGTAGCGGCTGTCACAGGACCTGAGGCAGTACTGCCGGCTCTGGAAGATGAGAGTGAGCAGAGCGTCCACACCCCATGGCATGTCCCCATCTGCCGCCATCTCGTCCTCCTGTGGGCACAGGTGCACGTAGCGCCGCCGGCTGACACTCAGCAGGTGCGCCTGTGGGTGGATGGCCAGGTGCACTGTCCACAGCTCCTCCGGGGAGATGGCCGTGGCGAAGCAGGATAGCTGGTCCTCGGTGCCCCCGAAGAAGCGGCCGTGCGGCTCTGATTGCAGCACCCAGCGCCCGTCTGGTTGTGGCAGGACCAAGAAGCGGCAGTCGCGGCTGGGCCGCTCTGCCTCACAGGCCACACGCCCATCTTCCTCCGCCGACAGGTAGCGGCCCAGGTGGCTGCTGCGGAACAGCACTGCTGTGCCCTGCCCAGGGTCGGGCTCCAGCACCCACATCTGCTTCCTCTTGAGGCTGGGAGCTGAGGCATTGACCTGGAAGCCAAAGCTCTCAGCTGTTAGGTATCGGTCAGTGTCATTAACAAGTCCAAACTGAATCTTCAGCACCTGGTGCAGGCCGTTGGTCGGCATCTTCAGAGCTGGCTAGGACCCTCAGGAGCCTGGAAAGCTCAATCCAGTGATCACGGTCCCCACGGGCCCTGGGGCCAACCAGCGTCATGGACCTCCTGCCTTCTCTGCCCCCTCTGACCAGTGGCCTCCACCACCCAGGCAGCTCTTACATGGCCAGTGGGCAGCGGAGGGCGGGTGGGAGGGCGGATCAGGGGTGTGCAGCTTAGGAGCTGCAGCTGCCTTTCATTAACCCCAGCTTGGATTTCAGCTGCTCCTGGAAGGCACCGGCCATGCCTGATGCCCTGTGGACTGGAGAGCAGTGCTGATCACCTCGCTCCCGGCGTGGCTGCGCGGGCCCAGCACTTGGTCCTTAGTCCTCACCTTGGGCACCCCCAGCCCCACGGTTCAGACTCCCAGCCCGGCCCCGCTCTTCCCCAAGGTAGAAAAAGCCACCCAGTGGAAAACTCACAGCACGGCTGGCTGCAACCTGATCACAGCCCTCCACCCTCAGCACTGCCAGATCCTCTGCAGGATCCAGTTACTGCTTCTCTGATTCCCGCTGCGGGCAGCATGCGAGGCCCCCACCTGGCAGCCTGGGGCTGCTCCTCTAGCCACACCACCCCTGCAGCCCTGGCCCGGCCCTGCTCTGGTGTGGCCCTGAGCCATGGGCTGGGAAGGTGCAGGATGTGTACAGTGACGGTGCCAGGATGGGGGACCTCGGAGCCCTGACCAGGGCAGGCATGGCCTGTGGAGACTCCAGTGCTGGCTGCGCTGGTCTTCTGTGGACAGCCCAGTTTGGGAACAGTGGTCTTGTGTGCAAGGGAGACTAATGGCACCTCGAGGGCTGTCGTGCAGAAGTTCTGCTGTTGGGCCAGAGGGCCAGGGTCTGGCCAGCTCCTGCACGCTGCAAATAGGGTGGGCTAGGAGGCTGCTCCTTCCTCTGAGTGAGCTCAGGGTGATGCCAGACTCAGGAGGCCTTCAGCGACTCGAAAGGCGGCCCTGGGGAACCCGTAATGGCCTGTCAGACCACCAGGGCAAGCCAGGCCCTCCTGTGGCCCCAGCTATTCAGGAGGCCGAGGTGGGAAGAGTGAAAGTCTAGGCCAATCTAGGCAGTTTAGCAAGACCTCGTCTTTTAAAAAAGGGCAGAGAGGGCCAGGGATTTAGCTCAGTGTTTCCACCGCCTGGCTCGAAAGCGCAAGGACCTGAGTTCCATCCCCAGTACCAAAAAATAAATACATAGATAAGATTGAAAAACCAAGGAGAGAGCTGGGCGTGGTGGCACACACCTGTAATCCTAGCACTTGGGAGGCTGAGGCAGGAGGATCACTGCTACTCTGAGGCCAGCCTGAACTACATAGTGAGTTCAGGGCCAGCCTAAACTACAAAGGGAGACCCTACCTCAAAAAAACCAAAAAAAGGGGGGGTGGGCCTGAGAATGCTGCTGCCTACCTCCCAAGTGCAAGGTCCCAAGTTCGATCCCTGGTACCAAAAATTAAAAATTTAAAAAAGCCTGAGGTTGTAGTCCAGTGGCAGAGCATTTCCCTAGCATGCCTGAGGCCCTGAGTTCAATTCCCACAACTGCTAAAAAATAAAAATAAAAATTGCCCGGGCAACTGGCCTGACGTTAGGGTCTTTACAGACTCAGGTCCAGGGGCCCATGTGGGTCAAGTCTGACCCACACTGCCGGAAGTGCTCTTTGGAATCTGACCGGGGCAGGAGACCGGAAGCTGGCTGCACCTGACCGTTTCACTTTCAGCCTGGGGCTGGCCAGCTGTCCCCCTCCGCCCTTGGCCTGAGGGTCATCCTGGAAGGGGGTACAGGGGATTGCTCAGCCGCACCCTGCCTGCCTGTCATGAGCACTGGCCTCGGGGGCTGGGAGCCAAGGAAGGAAACCCCAGCCACCCATCCTGGGCCAGGGCCAGCCTTGGTGTCCTCTCCCTCATCCCAGCGTGTGACCCTCAGTCTTTCCTGGGACCAGGAGCAGGCTACGGGGCACTGCCAGCCACAGCCTCCAGGTGCTCTCCCGTCCTCCTGGGGCCTCCTTCCCTTGAGTGGCCAAGGAGACGACACCCCTGGGTTGGGCACCACTAAGAACATGCGTGTGTAGGAGCCGGACTCCTTCCTGTATGGCCAGGTCCCTGAAGATAGCAAGGAGTGGGCGCCTGGGGCTCGGGAGAGAGCTTCGGGCCAGTCCCTGCTGACCTCGGCCCTCCCTGTGGACCACACACATCTAAGAGGCACCGACTGTCCACAGCCAGGAGCTGCCTGGGGTGACGCAGTCTGGGTGGCACCTCCTACCCAGAGTCAGGGCTGAGTGCCTGGCACAGTGCCCCTGTGATGTCCACACCTAATTTGCAGGCTGGAAAGTGTCACTGATTTGGGGCACAAGCTGACGATGCTGCCCACGCACAGGTCCCCCATCAGGTCCTACAGGCGTGTCTGTGTGTGGTGTGGACACCGGCTGCCCCTCTCCAGTCTTGACCCCCGGCTGGGCTGCAGAGGAACCCAGGATGTGCTGTCCCTTGATTGGCGTATAGGCCTCATTAGTCTGGTGGCACTGGCAGGGCGCTCATGGGCATCAGGTGCCAGCGGGAGGAACCCTGGCCACCAAGCACTAAGTGGCCTGGCTCTGCACAGCTTCTTGGTGAGAGAGCCAGGAGTGGCAGCAGCCACTCAGTTCTGGGCCCTGAAGCTGCCTGGGTCTCCACTGTGGGCTCCACATAGCCCCTGGGGCCCTGGTGCAGCTGCTTTTGGGGAACCACCTTCTCTTGGGTCCCAGCAGGGTTTCTAGTGCACAGCAGTTATTTATGAAGTGCCCATCACTGGTGGGGGAGTCTGGTTCTATTTATTTATTTATTTATATTTTTGAGACAGGCTCTCACTAAGTGACTAGATGTCCAGGTTGATGTGGAACTTGCCCTCAGCTTTCCAGAGTGCTGGAATTACAGGTGTGCGCCACCCTGCCTAGTTTGGCACCAGGGCGGGCCAGCGCTGGTTCTTGTGACGGGCTGAGCCTCTGCAGAGAGATGGAGCAAGGGTGCACATGGACGGGCCAGGCTGAGCTGCCATGTTCACCTGCTAAGTCAGCCTGGCCCATGGAGGTGCTGACCTTACCATAGCCTCAGAGTCCACTCATGTCTGCTCGGCAGGTTCATCAGGTTGTGCACTGCTCAACAGAGCCTCTTTCAAGGGCAGTGGTCACACACGAGATGTCCACTCCACACCAGAACCTCCAGCCAGCCCGAGTCCTCCAGCCCCTCCCCAGAGTGTTCTCCCATGTGTGGTAGCCAAATGTGTCTGCTGTGTGGGACTGATCAGAGTCGCTGCTGCCCTGGGAGCTCCCCTGGCCTGCCCCAACCTTGGAGCCCATGGTGGAGGAGGCAGTGTGTCCTGTGCGTGGCCATCTGCGGCAACGGTACCAGGCCTGGGCATGGGTAAGGCTGCCGGAGACTCCAGTTCGACTATGTTTGTCTCGTGGGAGGGGCACGTTTTTGGGATAGGCAGCAAGGCCGGCCACTTGGGTGGGCAGTGCCCCCAGCATCTGTGTCGAGGGGAGCTGGGCTCGGTGGGCATGGTAGGTGGGCCCTGCTGAGCACAGCTGGGTCCAGGAGCACAGACAGCCTCAGCTGTCAGTGCCCCGCCCCGAGTGGGGCCCAGGGCCAGAGCGAGCCTTGGGGCCACCCTGGAATTGTCAGGAGGGCTCCTTTCTCCAGGTGCTGGGGGAGTGGCCGCCCTGGACCCTGCTGGTCCTGCCACTCCCGACTTTCCTGGCCCAGCCAGCCTTCCTGGGGCTCACAGGGGAGGGGCCAGGTCCCCTTGTCTAGAAGGCAAGCCGAGGACGAAAGAGCCCAGGTTGGGTGCTTGTAGGCATGCTGCCCGTTACCATGGCAACCAACACACACACTAGGCTAGGTGCCTGGGGAAGGCAATGGTGGTGGTGTGCGCTGGCCTGCTTGTGGGTGTGTGTGGGGAGGGAAGTGCTCCCTCCTCCACTGGCCTGGAGCCCTGGAAACAGGAAAGTGGAGCCGGGGCAGCCCCAGCACTGTGACCTGCTTGTCACAGTTCATACCCTCACTGCAGGGGGTGAGGAGGAAGCCCTGAGTCTCACCCACTTCCCAGAGCCTCACCCCCAGGCCCTGATGGCTGAGAGGGCATCTCCCCACCACGCCCTGGACCAGCCCCTGCTCAGCTTCTGGTGTCCCTTTTAGTCCTCTGACCCCTCCCTGGCCCTGCAGTGAGGAAGGACCACCTGCTGGCCAGGGCACCACTGGGGACAGCCCAGGGCCCTGATTTCCTCTCTCCCTGGGGTCCCGCTCAGCAGCTCCCCATCCCCGAGCACGGCTACGCTTGGCGGCCTCATGATTTTTTCATGGCTGAGCTCTCCGTTCCCTCCAGTTCCACTTACATGGCTGGCCATGAAGGGGCCCCTTTTCTTACTCTGGCCTGGGTCAGTTTACTGAAGCCTGAAGGCCTGGTTTAGGGTGACAGCTCCAAGGAGAGCACACAGAGGGGCTCCCAGGCTCAGCCTGCCAGGGTGCCCTGTCCCACTCCTGCTGGAGGTGTAGCTCAGTGGCACGGCACTTCCATATCACACACCTGCAAAATAGCTTCGGACTACCTGCGGCCACGATTGTCCCACCCCTTCAGGCAAAAGCCGAGTCTCCTGGCTGTTGTCTCTTGTAGATCCCTAAGGTGGTGGGGTGGGCAAGAGCACCTACTGAGGCTCAGAGGTAGGAGCGGAGACTGGCGGCCTCTGAAAGCCCAGCCCCCAGTGGGGACAAGTCCAAAGGGCACACAAGGACAGGCCTGAGGGCAGCCAGCAAGCCCAGGGGCCCCCTGACCACAGGAGCAGCTCTCCACACTCCTGGGCCCAGACAACATTCAACAGAATATCTCCTCAAAGCGGGACCAGATTGCCTCCCAGAAGACAGTGGCTGCTCACTGCGCCCTGGGGTTATACACCCACTGGTGCACAGCCACGGATGTCAGCACCACGTGGACAGCCGTGAGCCCACTACCCAGTCCCCTCCCCGTGCACCCTCATGCCTCCACACGCAGAGGTGTGTGCGTGCGTGCCAGGCACAGCCTCACATCTGTTGGCAGAGGCCTGGCCATGACAAGGCGAGACCCCCCACACCCAGCCTCCCAGCACTGA